TCCCATTGGCAGCAGGCTGGATGTTAGCTGGATGTTGCCTGGGCGTTGTGTTCATGCTGTTTTTTTGTGTGGTTTTGATGTTTTATGTTGTTTGTAGGTTGTTTTTTTTGTTGTTTTGCTTGTGTTGTCTTGTAGGGCGGGTGCCAGACAACGCCAGGCAACGCAAAAACAACATGAAAAAGAAAGAAAAAAAAAACAGCACAAACAACGCGTTTTTTTTGTTGTTTGTATGTTGTTTTATGTTTTTTTTGTTTTGCGTGTTGTTTTTTTGGTTGTTTGATGTTGTCTGTTTTTTCTTGTTTTTTTTTTGATTTGGTTTCTATCGGTGACTACTGTTACCCCCCCCCCGCTCTCCGTCGCCTCCCTCATTCCGCCCCCCCCCCCCCCCCCCTCCTCAGCGGGCCAGCCGCTTTGCGTTCGCTTCCCTCCTGCCTCCCCATTCTGCTCCTCAGCGGCCCAACCGCTTTGCATGGGAGGGGGAAGAGGAGGGGGGGAGGGGGGGGGAGGAGGAGGAGGGGGAGGACAGGATAACGATTTCGTCGCAGCCATTTTTGGCTTCAATTTTTTTGAATTCGCCCGGCCGAATTCGAGGATTTGTTAAATTGCTGCCTGGGATGCTCGCTGGGCCACGCGCGGCGCCCTCGGCCCCGCGGCCAACATGGGCGCGTGGCACTTCGCGCAGGACGGCCCCGGGTGGCACCGCTGCTGCCTGCAGGGCGTTCGGAATTGCCGAGCGAGCTTCGGTGGCGAGCATCGTTTAACCGAGCCCTATCCCCATCTCGGTGGCCTTTTCTCCACTAGGGGATTTACCCCCCCGACGTGGGGATATAGGCGGAATTCCTGGGATTTCGGGGTGTATATCCCCATGTCGGGGGCGGCGGGAGGGGGTGGGCTGGTGGGGGGCTACATGGGGTTGTTAGGTTAACCGATACATAGGCGAGGCGCTACTCACCGTCGACGCGGACACGGCCACGAAGCTCGTCGACGGGCGCCTGGCCATCGCGGCTCAGGCGCGCGCTGCCCAGGACGGCGAGAGGGACAGGCACGCCAACCAGCGGCGACGGCTTCACTGAGTGAATCCGCGCGCCGCGCGTTTCGAATCGGGAGCCGTGCTCCCCGCCTGCGCCCGCAGAGAAAAAGCGTCGCGGAGGGCGACGCTTCCCGTCGAGGAGGCGTCGCGCGCAGTTCCTCCCCCTCCTCCTCCCCCTCCGCGTTCTCCTCAGCGGTGCAACCGCTTTGCTTTGCATGGCCCCTGAGGGGGGGGGGGGGGGGGGGGGGGGGGCGGCCGAAACCAGACAGATCAGTGATCTATATGTTTTGGGCCCTCCTCCACCTCTTCCTAGTCGTCCTCTCCCTCCTCCCCCTCCTCCTTCTCCTCCTCCTCAGCGGGCCCAGCCGCTTTGCCTTGCAGTTGTTGCATGAATTTCCTCTTCCTCCTTCTCCTCCTCGTCCTCCCCCGCCTCCCCTCCCCTCAGCGGTCTACCCGCTTTGCTCTGTGCATTCAGCGGCGCGGTCGCTTCCCGCGTTCACGCTTCCCGTTCGCAGCCATTTGAAGGGCTTCCCGAGGCGACTGCCTTCGTCGGGAGTTCTCCCGCGCACGCCATGGCGTCCAAGCGCGTGGCGAAGAAGCGGTGTCAAGGAAAGGTTGCTTCGCTGCCCCGTGACGATGACGGCGATCTTGCCGCTTCTTTTCTCATGCCCTCACATCATCTCTCCATCCGCTCTTTTCTCATGCCCTCACAGCGGCGTGACCGCTTGGCACCCGACCCCCCTCCCCCGCACCTCTTCAGGCGATGCTACTGATGCAGCAGACCTGCAGGTCGTCGCCAACGCGGTGATCATGCCCAGCTTCTCCGACGACAGCCCTGCCCCCATGGCGCCAGTGGCAGCTCAGAACGTGCTGCAGTCGCTCTTCCAGCGCCAGACCGCGACAGGCAGCCAGGACGCGCCAAAGGCGGGAGACGCTGTCGAGGTCGCGCCAGCAGAATCCCTGAGCGACGCCCAGCCCGAGGCAGCCGAGGAGGCGACAAAGCCTGGCAAAGAGGCAGCAGGGGGCGCCCTGCCTGACAAAGAGGAGGACGTGCCAGTGGAGGCTGAGGAGGAGGCGGGCGAGGAGGCTGAAGATGAGGACGTGCCAGTGGAGCAGCTGTCGGACGACGACAAGAGGGAGGAAGAGGTTGAGGCCCTGCTCTCGCAGGGCGACCCGAGGTGCTCCATGTGCAAGAAGGAAACGAATCCGCTTGCGCAGGGTTGTAAGATCACCCATGGCGGCACGGTCATCACGTGTGCCGCGTGCAGGGTGCGCGACCAAACACTTCGACGGATTTTCGGCGGGTGGCCGATTGCGGAGTTCGACGAGCTCACCGCGGAGGAGCAGGATCACTTCTACCAGAATTGCGGGTCAGCAGCTGCTGCTTGCCGCGACGCGATGAAGGGGATGCTGATGAATGTGCGCATGAAGCGCATCACGGAGACCCACGCTGGGCAATTCTTGCCCTTGTCTGTGTACGAGAAGCTGGGATACAACACGAAAGATATTGAGGAGAAAACGCAGGCTGCTGACATCGAGGATCATCCAGTTCTCGGGAAGACGTACCGGGTTCAGATCCACGAGATCTCGGGGGCCAGGATCAAGGAGGTCATCATGCAGGAGATAGCTAGAAAAGTTGGCAGCAATCGCAAGCGCAGAGCGTCAGCCTTCCTGGAGGCTGCCGAGGCAGCTGAAAAGCCGCAGAGCGCAACCGCGGCAGGAGCAGCAACGGCGCTCGAGGAGGCTCCAGCGGAGCTGCCGAAGCAGAATGGCTCAAAGAAGCGCCAGCGCAGCAGCAGTAGCAGCGACAGCAGCAGCAGCTCCAGCTCCTCGAGCTCCGACAAGAAAAAGAAAAAGAAGAAGGGCAAGAATGGTAAGGAGGGCAAGAAGGGAAAAAAAAGGCAAGAAAGGCAAGAAGGGCAAGAAGGGCAAGCACGATGACGAGGAAGAGCTTTCAGGGTCTGACGCGGGCCTCAGCCCAAAGGAGCTTGCGGCCAAGCGCAAGGCGAAGCTCGCAGCAGAGAAGAAGGCGGCCCGCGAGGCTGAGAAGATTCAGAAAACCATGGACAGGGAGATGGCCAAAGAGGAGGCAGCCCGCAAAAGGCAGGAACAGAAGAAGCGCACCAAGGGCTTGCAGACCGTTAACAAGGCGCTGTTGGCGGTGAAGCCATTGCTGAAGAAGACGGGGGATCTTCTGCGCGATGAGCGCGCGAAGAAGGCGACGGAGTCAGATCGGATCTGACGATGGGGAGGGGGGGGAGGAGGAGGCGGAGGAGGAGGAGGAGGAGGCGGAGGAGGAGGCAGAGGAGGAGGAGAAGGAAGAGGAGGAGGAGGAGGAGGAGAAGGAGGAGGAGGGGGGAGTCGCCCCCTCTCATTTCAGGCGCCGACGACGTACACTGAGGAGGCCACCAAAAGGCAGAAGTTTCTGAATGATGTTGTGGAGCATTGCAACAAGTGCCTGGAGGACGAGGAGGTCGTCCCAGACGTCAGGGAGGAGGAGGTTAAGACGGCTGTCAACTACATGACATCGTGGATGAAGAATATCAAGGCTGCTTTCGAGACGCAGTCGTGGGCCAAGAAGAAGTGATCCACTGGGGCTCTGGCCGGATCACTTCGGAGTAAGTCTCCGTCGACTGGTTGGTTACCGATGGCATGGCCGTGGCGGTAGCTACCTGGACTTCTGAGCGTGCTTGCAGGGGCACACAGCGGACGTTACCGCTCTCGCGTAGGATTTATAAGGAGCTCGTTGCTCCTGAGCGTGCTTGCAGGGGCACACAGCGGACTTTACCGCTCTCGCGTAGGATTTATAAGGAGCTCGTTGCTCCTCTTGCTAGCGTCGTATACATCGGGAGCTGCTGCGTTGCTCCTCTCAGCAGTCCGCGCCGATGCAGTTCCCATAGCAAACGCGCTTCCCTCCTCCTCCCCCTCCCCCTCCCCCTCTTCCTTCTCCTCCTCCCCCCTCCCGTCCTGCGTGAGTTGACCGCTCGTCCCTCCTCCCCAACCACGGAATGCATCTTGATGTTGTCGCATGCAGCAGCGGCATTGCCGCTTTGCTAATGATGCCGTTTTCACTTGCAGCGACATTGCCGCTTTACTTGTAGTTGCATTGCAGCGGCATTGCCGCTTTGCTATAGTGATGTCCTTCTCAACTTGCAGCGGCATTGCCGCTTCGCTTGTATTTGCGCCAGCGCAGCGGTCTGACCGCTTCGTTGCGCCTGCGCGTTCAGGCCAATGCTTCCGCTCAGCGCCGCCTCAACCGTAGCGCTGGCTCAGGCCAGCTTTCGCCCGAGCCAGCTCGGGCTCGAGCCAGTTTTTGCTCAAGCCAGCCTCATCTCCGATGAAACGTTTAAGCTCCGATGCGGGCGAGAACGTCTCCAAGAGGTCGCGCGCATTTGCTCCCCTGATTGCCTCGTTTAAAGCGTCGAACGCGGCAGTGATCGGCATTGCGCGCTGCTTGAAGGAGCAGCCAGAGATCATTGACGGCGTGGCGAGGTGGAGGATCAGAAAGGCTAACGATGAATTCGCATCAGCATTTCTGGATGCGCCAATGCAGCTGAACTTGGCAAGCGGCGCGGCCTTCGACATGCCCGTCGTCAATGTCGCCAGCCTCCTTCAACGCTGCGCTTCCGAATCTGCGAGCTTCAGAAATTTGCCGCCCGCAACTTTAAGACAATTCCCGTGCTCCCCAGCGGCGCCGTGGGACTTCATCTTGTACTTCGATGAGTTCGTGCCAGGCAATGTCTTGCGGCAAGATAACAAACGCAAGACGCTCTCGTTTTACGGGGGCTCCCGCTCCTTCGGCCCTGACGCGGTGTCGTGCGAGGACGCTTGGTTGCCTCTCGCTTTTGTTCGCCACGCAGTGGTCGATAAAGTTGCGGGCAAGATGTCCGGAGTCGTTCGCCAACTGTTGCGACGACTTTTTATTGGCCCAGACAGCGCGTCGCAGAGGGGCATCCTCATTGATGGCATTGGGCCTGGCGGCGCCCCTGCGCTCATCTTCTTTAAGCTGTCGAACCTGCTTTGCGACGAAGATGACGCTAAAAATGCCTTGTGCTTGAAGGGCGCCGCTGGCGTAATCCCTTGCGCTCTGTGCAAGAATGTGCACGGCATATACGGCCACTCGGAGCCCCTGCTGTCAGCGCATGACAGGACGAGCACGCTGGTGCCCATTTCGTGCTCTGATCCCAACCTGTTCGACGCGCGCACCGCGGAGGACCTGTTCTTCTCCGCGGACCTGCTCCAGCGTCTGCAAGCCACGCTGCCCAAGGGCGCGTTCGAGGAGCAATGCAAGATGCACGGCGTTAATCACGTGTCAGATGGTTTGCTATTGGGCGCTGAGCTTCGCCAGCGCGTGTCGTTGGACATGCGCACGTACGACCCAGCACGCTGCATGGTCATAAATGGGATCGCTCAGATTGAACTGAGTGAGTTTCTGTGCCGCCTCGCTGCCGTCGGCCTGACGTTGGAGCGCTCCAGGGACATCGCCAGCGCGCAGTGGCAGATTTGCAGCTTTTCAGCGACCAGCGGCATGCTGGACGCCAACGGGCTTTTCAGCGACCAGCGGCAAAAGCATTTGCAGACCAGCAAGAAATACAGCGCCAAGGCGAGCGAGATCATCGCGGCCGTTTCGCTCATTCGGTACGCTCTCGATGTGCTTACCGCTGGGTCCGTTCAGTTCAAGCTGGACTTTGCAAGGGAGCTGGCTTCCTTTGCCGCGCTGGCCAAATCACTGTTTCTGTATTTGCTGGCCAAGAGAGGCGCGGCTGTGGCAGATGCTTGGGCCGTGGCGCTCCGCAACCGCGCCGTGGCTTTCGAGTCTGCGTGCGGTGATTGCGGCATGCACATCCCGAAGTTTCATTTCTGCAGGCACCTGCCGCGACAGGTGCTCAGGGATGGGTTCGCACTTGATGCGCTTGTGACGGAGAGGTACCATAAAAATCACTGCGGATCGCTGAATTCATCGACAACACGCGGTGCTTCGAGAAATCATTACTGACCCGAGCTATTGCCCTTCAGTGCCACGATGCGCAACATAATGTTTCATTTGGGAATGCCTTGGTGTGCGGCATCAAATACAACGACGTCATGAACGTTTCGAAGGTCGTTATTGCGGGTGGCTCTCGCATATCAGCTGGAGATATTCTGCGTATTGGTGAGAAGCGCTATTTTATCCTCGGCGGTGCCGAGGAAGGCGGCAACGTGGCGTTCATTGTTCAGGAGTTGCATTTTATTTGCCAGGTGTTGCCCAGCGCCTCGCGGTGGCGAAAGGACGACGCCCCGAAGTTCGCGCAGTGCGACTCCTTCATGGCACAGCCTCTCTGGACACAAGAGGCTTCTGGAACGCTGTTATTGGTGGATATGGCATAAGTACCCGCGGGCGCCGAAGCGCCTGCAAGCGTCGAGCGCTGGCGCGATTGCACTTGCCAGAGCATTTCCTGAGATTTATCGGCGCGACCGCTTCGCGAGGCTACCCAAGGGGAGACAAGGGGGCGAGGAGGAGGAGGAGGAGAGACAATCGGAGCGGCGCGACCGCTTTGCCACTTTGCGAGGCTATCCAGGGGGGAGCGGGGGGAAAGGAGGAGGAGGAGGAGGAGGGGGAGGAAGGAGCAGGAGGAGGAGGAGGAGGTGGAGGAGGAGGAGGAGGAAGAGGAGGAAGAGGAAGAGGAGGAGGAGGACGAGGAGGTTGAGGAGGGCGAGGACGAGGAGGAGGACGAGGAGGAAGAGCGGTGCGTCCGCTTTGCCCCTCATGCCCCGATCCTTCGCGCGCGATCGCTTTGCGAGGCCATCCAAGAGGAAGAGGAGGAGGAGGAGAAGGAGGAGGAGGAAGAGCAGGAGGAGGAGGAGGAGGAGGAGGGCGAAGAGGACAAGGGGGAGGAGGACGAGGAAGAGGAGGAGGAGGACGAGGAGGAGGAGGGGTAGGAGGAAGAGGAACAGCGGCGCGTCCGCTTTGCCCCTTAAATTCTGATTCTGGGAATGACCGTTTTGCAGGTTATCCAAAAGGAGGACGAAAAGGAAGAGGAGGAGGAGGAAAAAAGGAGGAGGAGGAGGAGCGGCGCGACCGCTTTGCCTTTTCAGCTTCTTGGTTCCCTTCAGTTTTGCCGCTGCCATTGTCATCTCAGGGGCTACATGGGCGCCTTGCGCGGGCCCAGAGCGCGACAGGAGGTTGTCATCCAGGGATTCGAACGCATTTGCCCTCCCTCCTCCTTCTCCTTAACCTCCCCTCCCCCGTTGGAGCGCAACGTTCTGGGCGTGATTAAAAAAGGGAAGTTCTGAAGCGGCCAAACCGCTGCACTGCGCAACCTGCAATGTAAAAGCGGTCTGCCGCTGCGGAAAGTCAGGAGAAAAAGGAAGAGAAGCAAGCTGGTTTGTGATTTTTTTTCTAAGAATTTGCATATTTTTCATTTTCACTATTTGTTTCACTATTTTTCATTATTCTTCGCTATTTTTATTATTTTCACTATATAACACTATTGTTTTCATTATTTGTTCATTATAGTTTATTATTTTCATATTTTTAATACATGCTGATAGGATCCAATAGTGCACAATAGATATATTTAGTGTTTTATAGTATCCGCACCCATCTAAGTGGACGCCCCCGAAATGTGCCTGCTGAGGTCCGTCGGGCCTCCCGGTGAGGGTTCTGCCTGGCGCGCCGGCAGGGGGCGCGAGCTTGGTCGCGCTTCGCGGGCGGGTGCCGGAGAGTCACCGTGATGGAACACCCAGTTCCGCCATCGGGTGCGCTCGTTCCCGGGCGCTTGGAAAGTCCCCATCCCGACGCACCGCAGTAATTGGGAAGAAAAGCTGTCCAGCCGCCCTGGGCAGGCGCCCCCGATGGCGGAGCGTTTATCCAGCTGCCTGCAGCAGCGCGCATTTCTGAGCCTTCTCTGGCGCATCTTGAGTTTTTCTTGGTCCATGACCTGAAGGAGGCCTTGGCCTCGCCCACCAGATCTTAACTAGGCGCCGACAACTGTTCGTTGAAGTGGTTCGTTTGGATGCAACTCTTCGGAGGTTCTGTGGTCGACAGCGCGCCCAATCCTGCGTGCTCCCGCCTTGTCTGATTCGATCTTTGGCTCCATATGGCTCCAACGGCTCTCAATCGTTCTGGCGAAGGCCTCCCAGGAGGAGTTGCCTCCCAAGGTTCAGGAGGGGAAAAAACACACAGACACAATTAATCGTCGATTCCCCAGAAAATATGGAAAATACGGGAAGTGGTGGGGAAGACAGAAACCCAGAACATGTGGAAAAATATGGGGAATCTTGTTATTACCAAACAGCGAAGACTGATAGGTTTCTAATGGTTTCAAAAGAAAGCATCTTGACTCCTCAGGGGGGTCAGGGCAGATGCCGGACGGGTGCCGGGGAGAATCCGCGCAAGTCGTTTTTAACAAACAGTTGCACACTTCGTGGTCTTCGAGGTCCCAGGACTCCATTCCCGGGCCACATTCTGAATCCCCGGAGCCAACTGTAGGCCACTTCGTGGTCTTCGAGTTCCCAGAACTCCATTCCCGGGCCACATTTTGAATGCCCGGAGCCAACTGTAGGCCACTTCGTGGTCTTCGAGTTCCCAGAACTCCATTCCCGGGCCACATTTTGAATGCCCGGAGCCAACTGTAGGCCACTTCGTGGTCTTCGAGTTCCCAGAACATCATTACTGGGCATGATTTTGAATGCCCGGAGCCAACTGTAGGCCACTTCGTGGTCTTCGAGCCCCTAGAATTTCATTCCTGGGCATGATTTTGAATGCCCAGAGCGAATTGTAGGCCACTTCAAAAAAGAGAGAAAATTCAAAAGCAAGACAATCAAAACAAAACGACAAAAAAAAAGCCCGCTACCCACCTCAAGCCTGGGATTGGGGTGAGCAGCGAGGCCACTCCCCGCTCCCCCTCCTCCTCCTCCTCCTGCTCCTCCTCCTCCTCCGCCTCCGCCTCCTCCTCCTCCTCCTCCTCCTCCTCCTCGGCGGCCTTGGGCAGCATCCACAGCAAGGGGTTCCCCCTCCTCCTCCTCCTCCCTCTCCCCCCCCCCCTCCTCCTCCTCCCTCTCCCCCTTCTCCAGCCGCCGCCACGGCTGAAGGGCGCGGGACACGCGGCCCTCCTACCCCGTTCATCGCCCGCCAGGGGAGCAGCGCGCGATGCCCACTCGCCCGCGGGGCCCAAGAGGCCCATGATGGCGGCTCTCCTCTTGCTCGCGGCCGTCGGCTTCTCGCCGCGGGCGGCCGCCCGATCGTCGACAGGCGCTTGCCGCGCCCGCGGACGCACTGAGGAGCGAGAGCCGCAACCTGCTCCGCACACCAGGCTCTACGAGTACATCCCTTTCTACCTGACGGGCCGCGCCCGCGCGCAGGAGATCACCCACGAGCACTACGTGGGCGAGATCCTCTTCCCTGGGATGAGCCGCCGCCCGACTTTGGACCGCCGCCACTTCTTTCAGCACGACTACCGCTGGGGGCTCTCCTTCGGCTGCACCAGCAAGAGCTTCGGGGGGGGGGCATTTTCCTACATCAGCGGTTTCTGCAGGCACACCTACGTCTGATCGACCCTCCGCCCGCGGCGCTCTCGGGCCGCTGCGGCGCGACAGTGCCGCTCCTCGGACGTGCTCCTCATGGTTCGGCGCCTCTTCGTGCCATCCGAGTCCTGCTCATGCCGCCAGGTGACCCAGGCTGTGACCTCGTGGGCACGCACCATGATGGAGACTGTGGGCAGTCGTCGCACGCCCTTCAGCGGTGCGGACCTCAGCTCGGTGACTTCGTGGACGAGGCGTTTCTCGGCTCCTCGTCCCTGCTCGTGCCCGACTTGTGGAGCGAGGTCGACAGCGCCGTGGGCGCCTTCGTGGAGCTGGAGGGCCTCTCTGGACGTCTCTGGCAACGGTTCCTCTCGGCCCGCGACACCTTATTCTTTGTCAGCGGGGACACCTTCATAGGGACGCACGGAAGCTCACGCAGGATCGACTTCTTCTACGCCCCGTCCGCCCTGGAGCCCCACACACGACAGGGCGAGGCCCCCATGGGAGCAGGTCGCCGCCTCCACATATTATACGATCGAGACCACCGCTCTGTCTACGCGGGCGACATCTTCGAGGCCCACGCGCTGCGCACCTGGGACTACGACACGATCATGCTTCGGCGGGGGGGCGCCCTGAGGACGCGCGACCTGCAGCAGGCGGTCACGTCCCTCCCCAAGATGGTGCGCCTGCGCGCCCAGTTGCTCAGGGACCTTGCGGACTCGGACTGGATCAGCATCGTTGCCACGCCCACGGCCACCTCGATCGTCGCAGCTCGGGAAGCGGGCAAGATGTACGCAGAGGCGGCGCAGGCCCCCGAGGCGAAGCCCCAACTCACCACTTTTGTACCTCGCTCACGCCGAGTTCAAGTGCCCGTCGGCCTTCGTGGTGCAGGAGGCCCCGCAGTGGCACGGGCTCCCGCGTACCTTCCAGCAGTTCGTTTGCACGGAGACGGGCTCGGAGCTCTTTTCCACCTCAGGCAGCGCACGCGCCACAACGACCAGTATACCAGGTTGCAGTTCGCTAGCGCGGACCAGATCACACGGAAGAGCGTCAACCCAGACGGCCCTCGGGAGACTTGTCTCGACGTTCTGGGCGGCCGCCAGAAGACGGGGACGGGCCACCTGGAATCGATGGCCCAGAAAATGCCAGACAAGAATCGCCGGATCCACTGCGGCCAGAAGGGCTGACACGGGTGGCGGATCCTACGGAAAGAGATGGGCGACCTACGTGACGACGTGAGTCCAGCAGCTTCGCTGTAGCACCAGGCCCCTCTAGTCGCTCTCGCCGCCCCTGGTCTCTAGGGCGCGCTGGCGGCCCCTTCTTCGGCCTGGTCTTTTTTTTCCTTCTCGGGGCCTCTGGGGCGTCCAGGGAGCCTGCTCGGTGCTCTCCGCGCCGTCGAGCTCGGCCCCCAGGGGCCAGAGGGGTATAACCCCCCGCCCGCGGGCGCTTTACTGTTTCCTGTCCTGCTCGGCTCGGATCAATGGTGATCACAGCTGCGCGGCGCGCCCACACGCATGGCCTCGTTCGGCCCGAGGAGATCGCACGACTGTTCAGAGGTGTCCCCGAGCGATCTCTCGCTTCGCGAGCTCGAGGGGTGAGTGTCTTCAGACTCACAGCGCAATGCCGGGTCCATCCATCCATCCATCCCCCTTCTCCTCCTCCCCCTCCTCCTGCTCCCCCTCCTCCTCCTCCTCCTCCTGTTCCTCCTCCTCCTCCTCCTCCTCCTGCCCCCTCCTCTCCTCCTCCTCCTCCTCCTCCCCCCTCCTCCTCCTCTCCTCCTCCTCCTCCTCCTCCTCCTCCTCCTCCTCTCCTCCCGTCCCACGGGGCCCGCCCCCTCGCCCGCGAGAGCCCCCCTCCTTGCTGTGCGCCCGACGAGACCAGGCTCGCCCCGCCCCCCCCCCCCCCCCGCAGGCAATCCGGCAGCGCGTGTCGGCCGGGTGCGATACCGCGCCGGGTGGCTTCGAGGACACTGGCTATGATGTTCCCGTCGTACTTATTCTGGCTTTCTTAATAAGCGTGGGTACCCCCCTGACGGGGGTCAACCTAGCCTCGTCGTCGCGCCGCGACGGGGGTCGGAGCGCCTTCGGCGCGCGGTGGCTGCCCGCGACGGGGGTCGACGTGGGGCTGTCGGCGGGGGTGACGCCCCCCCGACGCTTATTAAGAAACTCGGAGTAAGGACCACATCCGAGAATTAATTTCGAGCACCTAGGAAAGTATCAAGACAGTGTCAAGCGAGTAACGCCTTCCACGGCCCGACACGCGAAAGCCCTCCAGTTTCGGTACTTCCTTGGTGCTCGAAGCTCTTTCGGGCGATCAAGGCTAAAGTAGGTTTGGGACACCATAAGACACGGATATCGAAAAAGAAAACACGCCAGAAACATAAACTTTCGACGCTCCGCACGGTTCTCTTGGATCTGCGCTGGGCCCCGCCCGGCGGCACCTCGGGCGCCGCCCCTGGCGCGCTCCGCGCGCCAGGGAGGGGGGACCATGCCAGATCCAGGAAATCAGCGCGGACCTCCACACATTTGTGTGGTGATGCCGTTTTTTTTTTTCTTCTTATGTTTTTTCTTCGTTTTCTTCTTATCATTATTATTATTCTTCTTCTTCATCATCATCTTCTTCTTCGTCTGCTTCTTCTTCATATTATTATTCTTCTTATTATTCTTCTTCTTATTATTATTCTCCTCCTCTTTCTTCTAAGGACACGGGGAGGGACCAAGAGATCTGCGCGGAGCGTCAACAGTTTGTGTTGATGCCATTCTTCTTCCTCGAAGGACACGGGGAGGGTCCCAGGTCGGCCGAGCGGAGCAGCGATGCCCCGAGGCTCGAGGGTCGAGGTCTCCGGGCGTCTTCGCGGCCGGTGCCCGGCGGCTCTTTGCAGCCTCGAGAGGCCCTTGTCTCCGGCGGCCGCCCGCGTCGCCGAGGGCGTGCTGCGGGGGGGGGGGTCTGGAGCGCCCCGAGCGGCGGGAGGCGGTGCACGGGGGATGCCCCTCGCCCGGAAGCACCCTGCTGGCCTCCAGGGGCGCCCCGGCTGGATCTCTGGTGGAAGGGTTCCCGTTGTCGAGCCTTAAGTCGGGCCTGTCCCTCTACATCGGGTGTTGCTAGAAGTGCCCCTGGCCCACGGTCCCCCAGCTTTTCGCTTTACTTTGGGTCCCCTGGGGCCCTTTGGGCCTCGTGAGGGGTGCTCTGGAGGCCGTCTAGGCCACCCCGAGAATCCTGGGAGCACCTTGGGCCAGGGGTACTTCTAGCAACACCCGATCTACAGGGGGAAAATGCCAAAATAGTAAACAAATGCTCTGGGGACTATTTTTCGACCATGTTTGTTCTGTCTATGTTTGAGCATTTTTGGGTTATCTTTTAAGCGAGCTCGACCCAAGGGGACACGCCCGACCTAAGTCGAGCCCCTGCCGTGCGTATGTGCCTCCCCGGCCAAGCCAAGGAGGCTCTCTGGCCTCGGGCTGCCCTCCTCCAGCGGCGGCCCCTCGCCGAGGGCGTGCTGCAGGGGGTGCCCGGAGCGCCCCCGAGCGGCGGGCGCGGCGCTCCAGGCCTCCCAGGTGGGGTCGGGGCGGGGGGGGTCGGAGGATCGCGCCGCATCGGCGAGGCATCGGCGATGCGGCTCAGTGTGGGGGCCAATCTTCTCCTCGCCGACGGCGCCGATGCCGCCGAGGTCGCCAGTGCATGGCCGATGCATCGCCGATGCGGCGAGATCCTCCGACCTCATCTGCTCGGGCCCCGTCGAGGAGGCCTCTGGGTGTACATCTCTGGCGGCGAGCGAGGGGGGAAGTGAGAAGGAGAAGGCCTCCTCACCATGCTCGGAAGTCCCCCGGCCTTCCGAGCAGTCCTCCTGAGCCTTCCGCGAAGACACAGAAGCACTTCTCAGAAGGCGCGAGGGCTTCCGAGAAGTCCCGCCGCCTTCTGAGAGGGCCTCCTCCTTCCAGTTTTCCCCCCCTCGCTCGCCGCCGGTACATGCCTCCCCGGCCAAGCCAGGAGGGCGTGCGTGCAGCGACCCTGCGCCCAGGACGGGCGAGGCCAGGATCGGTGTGCATCGTTCTCTTCTCTCTGTTTGCTCACAGGCCCCCTCCTCGAGGGCTGAATTTCGACTCCCCCGGCTCGATTCGGCCCCGATGGCCTCCGATTCCGATTCGATTCGACTGTTCCGATTTAGATTCCGTTTCCCCACGGAGGACCTTCCGATCTCCGCCGATTCGACTCCTCCCGACCTGGCTGCCGATTTCCGCCGATCGGGTCGCCGATCCGACTTATCGATGCGATTCTGGCTGTTTGAGGAGTCTTGTGGGATGTCTTGGGCTTCCAGAAGCGCCTTCTCGCATCCGTGTTGGGGGCGTATTATTGGGGACTTCTGGGGCGCCAGGGCGCCATCTGGAACAGACGTGCAGTCCTTTTGTGCCGTCGCAGAGCCCTCGTGGTCTGGTCCTCCGTCAGACTCAGGCGGAGCGCCGGGAACGGTGTCAGGAGGGGAGATTAGGCATCTTCCCTCGCCGGGGGTTGAGCTCCACAGGAACTCTTGCCGTCGGCTTCGTGGTTTCCAGCGCCAGGGCCCCCCACGGAAGCGATTTGGTGAGGCCGTCCCAGGCCAAGCCGCAGTTTCGCGATTGGGGCGCCGGGACCCAGAGTCGGTGGTTCAAAGATGGGATACTGAGGGATGGGATCCTAAGGACGAGGTGCTTCACACAATGTAATTAGATCCTCCTTTGGATCCATGCCTATCCTGAAGACCCCACCCCTCATGACCCCATCCTCGAACCACTGACGTAGGAGCGCCCGAACAGAAACGCTGCCAGGAGGAGGGGCGAGGGAGCGCCCTCGCTTCCTCCCGTGCCGAGGGTGGGCGTTCGGGCGGGCTTAGCCAACTGCTTGAGAAAGTAGCACGCAAAGATCGTGATGACTTGAGCGAGCTAGCATGGCGATCCCCGGCATCCGCAAGGGGCGCTCCAGCCAGGAGGGAGAGCCAGCATGACGCGGACCCCCCCTGCCGTCCTGCCTCGTCGTCGTCGTCCTCCTCCTCCTCCTTCTCCCCCTCCCACCCCATCCTCCCCTCTCTTCGCCGGGGCGAGGGGTCCTGACGCGCACCCCCCGTGTCCACGGGGGGGACTCGGACCAGGAGGGGCGTGTTCAAAAGGAGGGAGGTCTGTGAGGGGGCCCGATGTGCATCCCCCCTTTCCACAGGGGCAACTGGGGCAGGGGAAGAGAGGGGGCCCGCAGGGAGGAGGGGGAGTCCACAGGAGGGGGGTGTCCCCTGTCCACGGGGGGGAATTTGTTTGGCCACGAACTCAGGACTCGTTTCGATTCCTCCAGTTCCGATTCGATTCGACTTTGATGGCATTCCGATTTGGGTTCCGATTTCTGATTGGAGGCATACTAGCCTGTTGATTTCCGCCGATTCGGCTTCTCCCGACTTGGCTGCCGATTTCCGCCGATCCGATTCATTTCGATCGCCGATCCGACTTATCGATTGGATTCTGGGCTCTCCTGGGCAGTAGAGGGCCCGTAGGGGGCGGGGTCGAAAAGGGGGGGAGGCGGGGGGAGGGCTGACGTGGATCCCCCTGTCCACTGGGTGGATTCGGGCAGGAAGTGGTTAAGGCTGACCCCTCGTCCTTGATTCGCGATTACCTTAGGTCCAAATGTGGAATCGGCGCAGAAAGTCTGGGTTGCGGCGGCCACCCCATGGGGAGGGTATCGAGGGAGCAGACACATCCCACACGCCTGGAACTCAAGGGGTCGGCGAGTGTGGGTCATTCCTGTTCTCCTCCCCTCCTCTCATTGTCGTTGTCGTCCGTGGTCATTGCCCAACGCCTGTTGTGTGTGTGTGTGTGTGTGTGTGTCTGTGCGTGTTTGTGCTGAGTCGCCGATAAGCGCGACGACCTGGGAGCACGCCTAATTGTGGTCACCAGAGACGCCCAGACTCGCAGGAGTCGGCTAGCCACGACCCGCAGAGGTTTGCTCGGCCTCCTCCTCCTCCTCCTGCTCCGTTTCCCTTCCCTTCTCTCCAGATCTTGGTCTTGGTAGCCTGGCGAGAGCGTACGAGAGGGCCTCTGGGCCCCAGGGAGGGGACGGAAGACCGTCCGCCGCTGCTGGTAGTTGGCCCTCCTGCGGAGGGCAAACTGGCCAGTAGCGGTGCGGGGGTGTGGCGGTGAGGCGGGGCTCCGCCTGCACCAAAGCACCTCCGTTCGGGGTTCTGCCTTCCGCTCCCTCTCCTTTTCTCCCCCCCGCACGACTGTGCTTGGTCAAATGGTCAAATGGTCCCCAGATCTTGGTGCCATATTTTTGGTCGATCTGCCTGGTCTGGGCTGCGACCGCTCAGGTTGCCGCTTAATTATCCCAACTCGTTGCAGCTTTGCCCTTCCGCTTGCCAGTGCACGGAACAAGATGATACGATCCGGGGGGCGTTTTCGCATCAGACCTCTTCTCCTTCCTTCTGCTATTCTTCTTCCTCCTCTTCCTCCTCCTCCTCCTCCTCCTCCTCCACTGTCGCCTCATATGTGGTGCTGGATTTCCTGTTTCGGCCGTTTTCGCCAGCCAGTCGGGGCGATAGCGCACTTTCCGTCGGTCGTGCCGCTTTTTGCGACGGAGTGCGAGCGTACATTCGTTTGCTGCGTCGCGGTCCTTCCCTCGGCCTTCCGCCTCCTCCTCCCAAGCAGCGCTGAAAACAAACAAAAAACGCGACACCGCAGGTCTGCCCACGCGGGGCGGCACGCTGAGCAGCCGCCCTCGCGACGACGAGGGCGACGGCGACGGCGGCGGCGGCGACGACAACGGTGGCGACGACGTCGCCTCCGCCGCGCCTCCGCCGCGCCTCCGCACCGCCGCGCCGCGCCGTCGCCCCCCGCCGGCGCGCGCCGCAGGAGCGCTTCCGCGACGCCGTGGGGCGCGCGCTCGCCGAGCACGGCCTCGCGGCGGAGGCGCGCGCCGCGGCGGGCGGGCGGCGGGCGGCGGCGACCGCGGCGCACCGGCGCACGGCGGACTGCGGACGATGAACACGACGACGGCGGCGACGTTGACGGCGACAGCGACGGCGACGGCGTCGGCGACGACGACGCCAGCGACGATGGCGACGCCGGCGGCGACGGCGACGTCAACGTCGACGACGACGGCGACGGTGACGTCGACGGCGACGGCGACGGCGATGGCGACGACGACGGCGACGGCGAATGCGACGGCGACGGCGACCGCGGCGACGGCGACGACGACGGCTACGACGACGGCGACAGCGACGGCGAGGGCGACGGCGACGGCGACAGAGACGTCGACAATGACGATGCCGCGCACGACTGCGACAACGACAGCGACGTCGACGTCGAGTGCGACGGCGACATCGACTGCGACGGTGACGACGACGACGCCAACGCCGAAGCCGGCGACGACCATGTCGACGTGGAAGTCGACGGCGACGGCGACGGCGACGGCGACTGCGACGGCGACGACGCCGCGCACGACGGCGACGACGACGGCGACATCGACGGCGACGGCGACGGCGACGACGAGACGGCGACGGCGATGGCGACGACGGCGACATCGGCGCCGGCGGCGACGGCGATTGCGACGGCGACGGCGACAGCGACTGCGACGGCGACGGCGACGACGACGCCCACGACGGGGACGACGACGGCGACGTCGACGGCGACGACGACGACAACGACGGCGACGTCGACGGCGGCGACGACGACGGCGACGGCGGCGATGACGGTGGCGGCGACAGCGGCGGCGACGGCGACGACGACGGCGACGTCAACGACGACGGTGACGTCAACGACGACGGCGACGGCGACGGCGACGGCGGCGGCGTCGACGACGTCGGCGAAGACGACGGCGACGTCGACGGCGACGAGGACGACGACGGTGACGTCAACGGTGACGGCGACGGCGACGGTGACGGCGACGTCGACGCGGACGGCGACGGCGATCGCGACGACGGCTGCGGCGTCGACGGCGTCGACGACGACGGCGACGTCGACGGCGACGGCGACGGCGACGACGACGACGTCGATGCCGATGGCGATGGCGTCTGCGACGGCCACGTCGACGGCGTTTGCGGCGGCGACGGCGACGACGTCAGCGACGTCGACTGCGGCGGCGAGGGCGATGGCGACGGCGACGGCGACGGCGACGGCGACGGTGACGACGGCGTCGACGGCGACGAAGACGACGACAACGATGACGACGGTGACGTCGACGGTGGCGTGACGGTGTCGGCGACGACGACGGCGATGCCGACGCGGGCGGCGACGACGACAGCGTCGGCGACGGCGACGGCGACGGCGATGGTTGCGTCGAAGATGACGACGAGGCGACGACGACAGCGACGGCGATGACGACGGCCATCGACGCATGAGTGGTGCGAGATTCTGGGAAGGTCCCTTGAACGAGCACCCGAGCCGGTCGTCGACCGCCCGACCGCCCCCGCGTGGCCGCCCTCTCTTTAAGCCCAGGCGCAGGCCACGCGCGGCGGCCGCCCCCCGCCCGCGATGCGAGCCGCCTGGATGCCCGAAGGCCGCAAGGACCACCCGCCCGCCCTTGGGGGCTGTGCCACGGCTGGCGCCGTGTCGCTGGCGGCCGTGCTGGTCCTGCTGGGGGCGTGCTGGTACGAGGCTCAGCCGAGGAAGCGAGACCGACACCGCTCAGTCTCGCTTTTAGTCGATCCCTGTCCCCATGCCCATCCCCATGTCGACCCCATCATCCCACCACCTCAGTTGCGGATGTACGAAAGATCGTGTTCCACCGCTGCTGGCGGGAAGCCGGGGGGGGTCACTACCGGTTCGAACCCCTCCCCCCCCTCCGGAAAACCGGGGGGGGTCATTACCGGTTCGAATCCCTCCCCCCCCCAGTCCATCATGAAAAGGGGGGGGGTCACTACCGGTTCGACCCCCCTCCCCTCTAGAAAACCGGGGGGGGTCACTACCGGTTCGAGACCCCCCTTTCCCCTCGAAGACCGAGGGGGGGTGCGGATAGTGGGGGGGACGGTGGTGGTGGGGACAGTGGTGAGGGGACAGCGGGACAGTGGTGGCGACAGTTGGACAGTGGTGGGTACAGTGGTGGTGGGGACAGTGGTGAAGGCGGAGTCACTGGGATAGTGGGGGCAGTGGGGATAGTCGGGCAGTAGTTGGGGCCGTGGAGAAAGTGGGGAGAGTGGAACTGTGGCGGGAACGGTGGTGGGGACAGTGGGGACAGTGCGACAGTGGTGGGGGCACTGGTGGGGACAGTAATCCAAAAGCCCTAATAAAATTAGCCTGGCGAAGGACCCAACCATATGCAGTTGTGAATGCCGCAATTGTGCTGGGTGGTGGCGGACGCATGCGGGCGGTGCCACTGGGACCTTCGGTGGAGCCCCCATGGGGCCACGAAGCGCTGTACTGGGTGGGTGAGACGCGGTCAGCAAGGGCTGTGCTGCGTGGTGGCGGACGCATGCGAGCGGTGCCACTGGGACCTTCGGTGGAGCTCCCTATGGGGCCACGAAGCGCTGTACTGGGTGGGTGAAACGCAGGCAGGGAGCAAGGGCTGTGCAGGGTGGTGGCGGACGCATGCGGGCGGTGCCGCTGGGACCTTTGGTGGAGTTCCCTATAGGGCTACGAAGCGCTGTTCTGGGTGGGTGAAGCGCAGGGAACAAGGGCTGTGCTGGGTGGTGGCGGACGCAAGCGGGCAGTGCCACTGAGACATTTTGGTGGAGCCCCCTATGGGGCCACGAAACGTGCGAGGGGTGTGCCAGAATGGGGGATGGAACCGCATGCGGGCGCAGCCACTGGGGCCTTCGGTGGAGCTCCCTATGGAGCCACGAAGCGTGTGAGGGGTGTGCCGGAATGGGGGGTGGAACCGCATGCGGGCGCAGCCACTGGGGCCTTCGGTGGAGCTCCCTACGGGGCCACGAGACGTGAGAAGGGCGTGCCGAAAAAGCGGGTGGAACCGCAAGCGAGCGCAGCCATTGGGGCCTTCGGTGGAGTTCTCTATGGGGCCACGAACCGTGTGAGGGGTGTGCCGACATGGGGGGGGAACCGCATGCGGGCGCAGCCACTGGAGCGTTCGATGGAGCTCCCCATGGAGCCACCCACGAAGCGTGTGAGGGGTGTGCCGAAATGGGGGGTGGAACCGCATGCGGGCGCAGCCACTGGGGCCTTCGGTGGAGCTCCCTATGGGGCCACGGGACGTGTGAGGGGTGTGCCAGAGTGGGGGGTGGAACCGCATGCGGGCGCAGCCACTGGGGCCTTCGGTGGAGCTCCCACGAAACGTGTGAGGGGTGTGCCATGCGCATGCGCAGCCACTGGGGCCTTCGGTGGAGCTCCCTATGGGGCCACGAAACGTGTGAGGGGTGTGCCAGAATGGGGGGTGGAACCGCATGCGGGCGCAGCCACTGGGGCCTTCGGTGCTCCCTATGGGGCCACGAAACGTGTTGTGAGGTGTATGGAACCGCATGCGGGCGCAGCCACTGGGGCCTTCGGTGGAGCTGCCCTGGGCCTTCGGTGGAGCTCCCTATGGGGCCACGAAACGTGTGAGGGGTGTGCCAGAATGGGGGGTGGAACCGCATGCGGGCGCAGCCACTGGGGCCTTCGGTGGAGCTCCCTATGGGGCCACGAAACGTGTGAGGGGTGTGCCAGAATGGGGGGTGGAACCGCATGCGGGCGCAGCCACTGGGGCCTTCGGTGGAGCTCCCTATGGGGCCACGAAACGTGTGAGGGGTGTGCCAGAATGGGGGGTGGAACCGCATGCGGGCGCAGCCATTGGGGCCTTCGGTGGAGCTCCCTATGGGGCCACGAAACGTGTGGGGGGTGTGCCGGAATGGGGGGTGGAACCGCATGCGGGCGCAGCCACTGGGGCCTTCGGTGGAGCTCCCTATGGGGCCACGAAGCGTGTGAGGGGTGTGCCAGAATGGGGGGTGGAACCGCATGCGGGCGCAGCCACTGGGGCCTTCGGTGGAGCTCCCTATGGGGCCACGAAACGTGTGAGGGGTGTGCCAGAATGGGGGGTGGAACCGCATGCGGGCGCAGCCACTGGGGCCTTCGGTGGAGCTCCCTATGGGGCCACGAAACGTGTGAGGGGTGTGCCAGAATGGGGGGTGGAACCGCATGCGGGCGCAGCCACTGGGGCCTTCGGTGGAGCTCCCTATGGGGCCACGAAACGTGTGAGGGGTGTGCCAGAGTGGGGGGTGGAACCGCATGCGGGCGCAGCCACTGGGGCCTTCGGTGGACCTCCCTATGGGGCCACGAAGCGTGTGACGGGTGTGCCAGAATGGGGGGTGGAACCGCATGCGGGCGCAGCCACTGGGGCCTTCGGTGGAGCTCCCTGGGGCCAGGAAGCGTGCGAGGGGTGTGCCAGAATGGGGGGTGGAACCGCATGCGGGCGCAGCCACTGGGGCCTTCGGTGGAGCTCCCTATGGGGCCACGAAGCGTGTGAGGGGTGTGCCAGAATGGGTGTGGGAGGGGGAGGAGGGGGGAGGAAGGGGAGGAGGAGGAAGGAGGAGGAGGAACGCGTGGCGACGTCTCTTCAAAACGAGGACCCAACACCACAGGATGGTTGGGACAAATTTGGATTTCAAATCTTAAGCGCATCCCCCTGGCGGTTCTGCAACGGCTGTAGCAGCCGTTGCAGCGCTCCTGGGGTTCTGCACCTCCCAACCCTCGGAATGCGAAAGAGGTGTTTTTTTTAGATCGGACCATTGTCTCTTTGTTTCTGTCTCTCTGTCTCGGTCTGTGTGTTTTCATTCTCCATAGATCTTAGAGTTTTTCCATACTATGTTCTGATTTGTTGTTCGTTTGCCCACGTTCGTGTCTCTCGTATGCGCACGTTCGTTTGCTTCTCAGCGTCCAGAAATATAGTAAACATGTGGTAGTTTCGTACGCGGTCTTCGCGGTGACACATTTCACCCCGTTGTGGTTTCACACTGTATGGGCCCATGGTTGCGTCTAAAGTGCGAGCAAACCATGAGGTTGACACGCATTTCCCCTTATGTGTTTTGCAAACCTAGTAGTGGAACAAAAAGAGTTTTGCTCACACGGTTTTCGGTGTGACGTGTGCCACCCCAGTGTGGTTTTACGTCCCCCATGTTGGCGTCCAGAGGATGAATGTATTGAAATAAGTGTAATTTCGCATCTTGTGTGGTGCCAAATTGCATCCCCCATGTCGGCGTGACACGTGTCACCCCTGTGTGATTTGCTTGTTTTTTTTCTTCTCACACTGCGTTCGTGATCACACGCTGTTGCCCTGCTGTGATTCAACCAGTCTGGCCCCATCACTCTCTCTTGACTTCGCTCGCTTTCTTTTTCTCTCTCGCTTTCTCTCTCGCTCTCTCTCTCTCTCTATCTTTCTCTCTCTCTATACATATATGTATATTTGTATATATACACACGTATATAGTTATATATATGCATATATATATACATATATGCATATATATATATATATGTACATATATATATATATATGTATATCGCCTGCTCTCTATATGTTTCTCTCGCTTTTTATCGGTGCCACTTGTTATCCCACGAATGTGTGTGTGTGTGCGTGTGTGTCTTTCAGTCGTTATTTCTTTCTTTCTCTCTCTCTATCTCTCTTTTTCGGTCTCTCTCTCTCTCTCTTTCTCTTTTTTGTTGTCTCTCTCTCTCTCTCTTTTTCTCTCTCTCTCTCTCTATATTTCTTTCTTTCTTGCTCTATAATTATGTTTTTCTCATCTCTTTGTTTTCTCTCTCTCTCTCTCTCTCCATATAGATTCCAATCACTCTCTCTTTCTCCCTCTCGCTCTTTCTCTCTCCCTCTCTCTCTCTCTATTTCCCTTGCTCTCTTCTTATTTCGGTTATCGCCTTCTCGCTCCGTCGTCCCATCGTTTCCCGTCTTGAGTTTTCCTTCTCTTCTTCTCTTGCCTCTTGCTTTTCCCCGCCGAGCAAGCTCAAGCCACGAGCGCCGCGGCGGGCCCCCGCGCGGCGCTCGCCAAGGCCCACGCGGACCGCAGTCGGCGCCAACGGCCCCTGTCCGCTAGGCGCCCGCGGCCACTCGGCCCAAACCTCGCCTTCGTGGCCGAGGGCCGCGAGACGGCGGCGCAGGGCGAGGACGCGCCCAGGGCGCACGCAGGCCGCAGTGGCGGCCAGGAGGCCGCAGTGGCGGCCGAGGAGGATTCGGACGATTGGGCGCAAGAGGGCCGCAGTGGCGGCCAGGAGGAGGGGAAGTGGCGGGGTGGCCCGTGGAGCGGCTGGGACAGCTGGAAGGGCTGGGGCAACGGGTGGTGGGAGACGCGAGACTGGTGGATTGCGCGGCAAGAGGCCGAGCGCGAAGGGGGGCTTGCTCGCGGGGCAGTGAACCACTGCCCGCTCGAACAGCTGAGGGGCGAACGCGGACTTCGACGCCGCCGGGCCAGTCCAGCCCAGGCCGCAGTGGCGGCCCGCCCGTCGTCCACGGACGGCCCCTCAAGCCGTTGGACATCGACGCTCGGACCAGCAGCGGCAGCGCCGCCGCCAACGGCAGGACCGCAGCCGCCTGCCCCCCCAGGCGCCGCCCCTACGCGCGACGCAGCCCCGCCGCGACGCCCAGCGCAGTCGCGTCTCTGGGAGCCCCCGCCGCCCGCAGAGATGCCCAGGGAGCGCTCGCGAGACAGAGCCCCTGTCGCCGA